GTATTATGCAATGATATTGCCTGGGCAGTAACAACTGCAAAAATAGTTCTGGGAAAAAAATCTTCCACTAAGTTAAGGTTAATACTGGACATGTTTAATAATTCTTACCCATTATCTATTCTGTCTTTTATGGGTAGTTAATCCTTTTAGACAAGGTTTGAGGTGAATTGTGTGGGGCAATGAATTTTTAAGCTTGCCAGAACCTCTCTTTGGGAAGAGTCCAAGAGAGAATATTTCTCCTACTTCACTGATTCTAGCCTTGGAAAATCATAGGCAATTGGTTCCGTAGATAAGGACTGTTTAAGGATACCTTTTTCCCTTGAAAATTTGTTTTGCTGTATGGAGTGCAAATGCTAAAAGGACAGATGGCACTCTTACTGCAGCAGATGGAACATCTCTCCTGTGAATGTCATTGTTGCCCAGGTGAGGTGAAATCCCAACTGTATTAATGTAGTTCTTTCAGGTGGCAGTGCACTGCCTCATTGATAAATCTGAGAACTGAGAAAATAGATGCAAATTTAATTGCATGGGATTTCATTTCAGCACCTGTCTTTGGCCCTGACTTTTTAGTTTTAACTTACCTGTACCTTAGTTTTCTTACACAATCAGAAAATAAAATTACTTTACTTCTGTGTAAAACAAAATATATTTAACATCTTGAATTCTTCAGCTAGAAAACAGTAATCATGAGTTACTCAGAACACTACGATCAAAAACATAATAGGAATTAAATAGAGAGCTAATAGCAAGAAATTGCTATTCAAAGAACTTGATCATGTGAATTGATTATCTAAACGTAATTATTTACTGCTTTATTCCTCCCCTGCTTATGCTTTTCTTAAGCCAAGCAGGAACACACCACAGTGCTTCAACTTCTTTTCTCCTGCCCACGATAGCCTTCATTCAACAAGAAATGTAACTGACTCCCTTTCTTTAGAAATACCCTTAGGCCTTTGTTAAAATATCCTAGGTTCTCCACTTCTTTTGTAGGCTACCTTGTAATTACTTATGTTGGAAGGACCTTCATAGTTGAATTAAGATTTACTTTTTACTATAAAATATCTCTTACCCTCTTCATAACTGACCATGCTTTTGTTTTTAGTCTTTCTACCCAGTTTTCTAACCTTGGAGCTATGGTCAAATGAACTTGCAGTAAACTCACCAAGTCAAGCAGCCCAACTGTAAATATCACAAGGAGGCAACAGCAGCTTCTCATCACAAGGCCTAAATGCTCCCTGTGTGGCATGACAAACCTTTTATACCTTCAAGGTGCTGCCTCATTGGCTCTTTTGCCTCTATTCTTCAGCTGTATCAGTTGCCAGGGAATGCTTAAAGGGGCCCTGTGTCTTCAGTACAGGAATAAAATACCTTGTTTGAAAGAAAACAGATTTTTCCCCATTGTCAATTATGTCTGGAATGAAGAAGTTCTAACCCCTGACTTGAGCCCCAGGGAATATTTTTGGTTATGGTTGCATTCCCTAGCCAGGTTGAAAAGTTACTTCTGCTCGAAGAATTGCTTCAAGAGTATTGCAGTTCTCTTGGCAGTCCCAGTTCATTGCTAGCTTAAGCCTCCACGTCACTTAGAAAATTCCTATTTTGAATTTAGATATCCTCAAACAGGTCAAAAGAATGATTCTTAAACATAAGAAAGATGAGGACTTGATGCATTTTGTCGAAATGCTAAGAAGCAAACAAAGGAATGAAACTGTCAAAGCACTATCTATTTTCAGCTGGTCTGAGAAATTACTAACAAGATGAAGGGTTCTACGTCAAATTCTGTTTAAAGTCCAGGGATATTATGTATCTAGCATTCTCTAACAAGTATTTTTTATGAGTTTATGCTGTTTCTACAAGGGTGGCACCTTTTCTTAATGTGCATCCAAACCCTTAAAGATTGCAGCTGGAGGATGTTCTGGTAGAACCTTGTTCCATTGTAAATGTATGGAATTTTCTGAGTGAATCTTACTGACTTACTCAAATGTAATTAAATTGCTGAATGTTGGCAGACGAAAAATATCTGGAACAAATAAATAAAACTCAGCAGTCTGTCATAAAAGAAGGAAAACTTCACAAACATCTGATTAAGTAACTGTCATAACACTAATTAATGAACACACTATAGACACGTTCAGTATTATTTTAATTATTTATTTTTTTAAGTGGACCATTTAAATGTTGATGTTATTAACCACTTTGTTTTAAATTTCTTAGAGCCCTTGGCTGAGATTTCTTGCACTAATCATAGTACATAGGGGGAACAAAAGTAGGTTATTTTCCAGTGTGCATGTGTGTCTGTGTCTCTGTGTACGTATGTGCTTTACAATTATCAAACATATATTTACACACCAACTTTACACTGAAGTCTTTAAGAAGTCTTTTCTATGGCAGGGGAAAGAATCAACTGACCAGGGACTTAGGTCTATATGATCCATTTGAGATTTTCCAGTATAGTCCCACAGAGCTTCTTATGCATTCAAACTTTTGCTGGAATGTTAATCCATCCAGTAGTGTTTCTTTATGAGATGAAACCTGGAGCTGAGGAATGCATCTCTTCAGTTTTCTTAACTTCACTAAACTGTAAATAATTTAAATTATTAAATTGAAATATCAAGACATTTAGTTATTGTTCATATCGCTCATCTTTAACCTTCTAATAATACATCACATTTTTAAAATAATTAAAAAACAACAAAAAAAAAGCCTTTGGAGGCTATATACTACACAGTCTCCATAGCTCCTGCTTCTTGGGAAATCTGTTAAAATATAACAATTCCCAGAATGTATTTGGAGCAGTGGAACAGAATTGTCCGTTGGCAACTTTCACATCCAGCAATCCAGACACTACAACAATAATTTAAAAAATTGCCTTGTGATTTATTATTTTAGCTGTATTAAAAAATGAACACTAATCTACTTCTTAAATATAGTTTGGTTTTTGTGAAACACCACAAGATTTGGCAAAAAAAGATGTAAAAGAAGACTGTTTTGATGTATAAAACTCCTTACCAGTAGAAGAAACACTGACCTTAATTTGGCCTTTTCATAGATTCATTTCATGTAGTTTTGCTGCATATTTGAAGCCTCAAAGAGCAGATAGAGCTGCTAATCAGTTTGGAAATCACAGAACAGTTGCGCACCAACAATTCCTTTAATAGGCAAAGGTGTCCATGATAAACAGTAAAGTAAAGCAGAAGTGTGTACACAGTATGTGCTGTGAGTCATGTGCATGTTCGTACATGATGGATGTGTATATACTGTTTGGCTGTGTGTACCGCTATTGCAGGTGCATGCCCATTCTTGACAAATTTAAGTAGTATTTTGCTTCAACTCCCCTGTTCTGTAGCTTCTGGTTTGAACTAGCCTTTCTCCCCAACATAACCTTTCTGCTCCACACCCTGCAAGCAAGGTCATCTGTCACTCACCAGCTTTATATCTTCATGTCAGTAAAATTTAAAGACAACTGGATGAAGAATTATTTCTTACACAGAACGTGATAACACTCCCACTATAGGAAATGGAATGATATAAATGGTATAAAAGTGCAGTGACTGTGGTGGAAACATCTCCACAGAGTTAGGCCTCAATCTCTTAATTAGGTTTTTTTGAGTTGTTTGGTTTGGGGTTTTTGTTTGTTTGTTTTTTTTTCACTGGAGGGTGTGTGTGTGTTTTGGAGAGGAGGTTTTCACTCTCCAAAACATAGATTTGTGAAAAATGACATACCAGGTTAAGGGGGCATAAGAGAGAGTGTGTACATATATCAGATTTCCCCTTTTCTCTCCTTGGGCTAAGTATTGCCCCATTTTTTTCCACTAGAAGTGGAAGTGCTTAGCCCCTCTTTTGTCACTTCAGGAAAACAGATTAAGCCCAAGGATTCTTAGCAGAGGCCAATATATTTGAGATTGTTCTGAATGATGACATCTGTCACTGCATCAAAGACAAATTGTATGTTACTGGTATCAGTGGCGCAAGTGAAGTGTGAGTAGATCTCCTTGGTCTCCTTGTTGCGATTCAAGTCCTCAAACTGGCGTTGGATGTAGACTGCTGCCTCCTCATAAGTATTTTGACCTTTATATTCAGGAAAGCAGACTGTTAAGGGGATGCGTCGGATTTTTTCTGCCAGCAGATCTTTCTTATTCAAAAAAAGGATGAGGGAAGTGTTGATAAACCAATTGTTGTTGCAGATGGAATCAAAGAGACGCAAACTTTCTGCCATTCGACTCTGCAGGAGAGGAAACAACACTGTCAAAAATAGTGTTTCAGCATAACTTTGAAAAGCACACAAAATACATCATTATGTCTGTCGGTGAGCAAAATCTGCTTTTGAGAAACAACTTTCGTATTATTTGGTAACTGTCCTTCTTACCTGACCATGAAATTTCAGGGATCTTGCTTCACTTATTTTGATACAATACATTTTACCACAGACTACCTCTTCCTTTATTTTTTTTAATATTTGGCAACTATGAAGGAAAGTCTAAAAGTGAAGATTTAGAAACAATAGGCGTGACCTGGGGAACATGGCTGTGTTCAAACTTAGGTTAGCACTGTAACAAAATTCTTTTAAAAAAAGGGGATGAGTAATTTCTAAGAATTTCACACTACCGAAACATTCTGTTGTTAAAATTTTTAAGACATAATTACTACAGCACAATTGTAATATTGCATCATTAGATGTGTAGTTTAGTACACCATACATACTCAGAATTCCTTCCTTGCCTTACTTCTTCCCGCTGTAATATAGTAACCTTGAAATACACAAGAACCACATTCTAATTATAGTGGGATAACTTGTATGTTTATAGGTGAAAACTGAGTTTAGCTAGGTTATTTAACATCTTTCTGTCTGCTGCCCTGAGTAGGCAGGCTCCTTATATGAACAATTTCGGATGGCTTCCACAATTGCATTTTTGGAAATAACAACCCAACGCTGCTCGAAGCTGAAAGAAAGGTCCGTTAGAAATCACCGGCAGGGTTGGATTTTCCGGTTGTGTTGCTGGAGCTGTCCATGGTACCACGTTCTCTTAGCTGAGGTTTTTGCTGGGTTTACACCTGTGATAAACAGATGTCATGTTTTGAATAGAAAATATTCTAGGCGATTAAAACAAATATCATTCCAGTACTGTCCAGATTAGATACATAACTATCTTAAGCAAGCATTTTTGCTAAGGTCAATGTTTTCCAGCATGTTACCACTTAGATCTTTATGCCTGTTAGGTTTCGTTACCACATCAGCATTATCATTATCTGAATAACTTGTCAGATATTTGTCTTCTCATGAAAATTCTTTAAGGCATACACTCAATATTTTATCTTTAAAGGAAAACATCTCTTTTACCTAAGTCATTCTATTCATATTTAGAGAATGTTGATAAGCATGGCATTTTACAATTAAGAAACAAGGCTTCATTCCAATCTACTGCAATCCTCAGCAATAATTCTTATTACTAAAACTATACTTCTTTAATAGTGGACCTTTATTCTGTCCTAATTCAGCTGTGTTTAAGTACTGCAGAAAGCAGAAAAAAGATATATGACTGAAAATTTGGAATAGTTTTTTTCTGTACAGCAAGTGTATTAGGAAAAAAGTGTAGAAACATATTCACAAAACAGGCTACACTTAAAAAACCTGGAAATTATATAGATTCACAAATCCTGACACAAAAAATAATCCCCTAAAAACATCATAGGTCTATTTCTAAATAATCATGCTTGTCTTTCCTTCCCTGAATTTGCAGCTGATAATAAAACCACACAAGAAATTTTTAGCTCAGTTAAAATGCTTTTGCTAATAATTGTCTGGAAAAAATGTTTTAGAGCTAATATAGACTTTTTTGTCCGACTCTTAGAACATTGATGGCAACAGGATATTGCTTTTTAAGAGGTTTGTGGTTATTACTGGATTTTGTAGTGAATCTTCACTTGGAGTCTGTAGTCCAAGGACAAAATCAGAGAGTAAAAACCATTCCATAAATTGTGAAAAGTAATGAATGCATGTAAGACAACAGGCAGTTTTAAATTGTTGTAAACTTGGTGATCTCTGAGATGATGTAAAAGAAGAATTAGTAAAACTGTTGTACCTCATACCTAAGAAATTTCTTCTTCAATGTAATATTATTATTAAATTGTTTGAATATCTGCAAGTCATAAAAACCTTAACTAAACCAAATAAAATTTTCTTTTAGTTAAAAATGCAAGTAAGTTAACCAGAAATAATTTCCATCCTAGATGCAGCCTATAGTACACCAGTGCAGGACTGTAGTGGCATGGTATAAATGCCTGATATACCTTGGGAAATGAACCCTAAAAATTAATTTCATGATTTAACTATAATAGCATAAGTAGGAAAATGTATTGCTGAACATGGAGAAAATGTATCGGAAAAAAACCACCCAAGACTTCAAATGACAGTAAGATGCAACCCGTATAATCATGAAAAGAAAGAGAAACAGGCAGCACCTACTGCCATATGAAGAACAGAAAACTAAGTGAAGTTTATCTGAATTGGTTTTAAACCTGTTAACATGGAGACGTGAAACACATTGTTCAATCTCACTTTCTGCATGGAATTAAATGACAAGTAAATATAAACCTAAGAGAAAATAACATACATGGCAAGACAAGGCCTTTATAAATTTTAAGTGGTGGTTTATGATTTGGGCAGTTCATCAGTCACATTTGAAACAGCAACGCATGACATGTGGCTCATTTTTTTGTAGCTGGGTGACATCTTTATATATCTGAAAAGCTTAAATAAGAAGTGATATGTCCACAGTTCTATGATGAGGGTTGACACTGAAACTGAGTGAAAGATACTCAGATACTCCCATCCTAACATAAAAGGCTTGTTTATGGTTTTCTTAATATTGTAAAACTACTGTGCATATTATAGGGAAAGTGAACTTGAGAGGGTTACAGCATCTTATAATTAAAAAAAAAAAAAATAACTGTACAACTCCCAAAGGAGTTACAAAAAATTTCTATTAATGTGAAGGAAAAATAACAGTAGGAAAAGACATTCTTCTTCTCTGCAGTGTCTTTTCTAGTTCAAGAATCCTGAGGGGAGTAGTTGGCCAGGTGGTTAGAAAAAATGTGCTGCTGTAAATTTCATAATTATGCACAAGCTGTGGTATAAACAAGATAATGCCAATGCCTTATCCAGACAGCCTTGTTGGGGGCTAATTGCAAATTCTTCTTTGAGCATGAGAATAGGAACTGGTTGCTTAAGGGAAAGAACATACTAAGGAGCAGATGGCTGCTTCTATTCCAATAACTTGCAAACATCCCCGGCCATCCTCTGGAACAGTAGAGATGTGCTGAGCAGCAAAGAGTTCCAGAACAAGCAAGAGTTTTCAAAAGGGAAGACCTTGTTATCAAGACAGCAAAAAATCTGAAAAATCACTTGGTAAATGGAGCGAAAGTGGAATGTAATATCTCCTCACAGCTTTCACATTAAAGCTTTCTAGTCAGAGTTAGAAGAGCTTCGAACTTAAAAATGAAGAATTATGAAGAGATAAACTATCACAAATATGAGGGTTTTTTTACTAAATACCCAAGGACGTTATCTTTCCATCATTATTTCTTTTCTGTCGTTATTTTAAAACTGGTAGGCGTTTGGGGATTGTAAAACCTTTAACTAAAATAAAGAAAATTTACCTTGTGTAAACTATAAGCAGTGATGAATTAGCAACTTCTGCTTTCCAGAAAAGTTGGAAAATTTTTACATATCGGTAAATCTTGGAAGAACCAGTGGACGCTATTGCTATTTTCTGTTGAGGCTTTTCCTTGTGATAGCAGTGGCATTTAGCATATGCTGGTAGCTATGAGCTATGTCACAAAATGGCACAAACCTTTTCTTCCTGTTTAAAATGTGTTCTTTAGAGATGCGCAACTGAAGACCTTCTAAAGAAAGCAGGTGAAGGTAAAGTATTTGAAGAAGGGGTAGTGGAGTAAAAAGTTAATTGAATCTGTTGGATGTAAACATTCCATTTTCCTTAAGGAATTGAATCCATTCTGAAATAATAATAGTCTACAAAATAAATCAAAGGAAATACCATTGTCCAGGACAGTCACAGTGAAAGCAATTCAGGAATTCAAACTATGTTTGAATAAATGTAAAATGGAAGGCAGAGAGAAAGTAGAAGAATTTTGCAGAAGAAAATACAGATAATGCAGAAAGCAAGAGATAGCCTAGAACAATATACAGAGATACTTTTTTCTTGTAAAAAAAGCCTAGATTGAGTGCTAGTTGTAAGGATCTTCCTGTCTAGCAGTTAAGCAGTACTAATTGAGTGCTGGATAAGAGAGACTTCATTTAAAATGAAAAAGACTATTGTATGATTCATCTTTTGTTCAAAGAAAGAAGACTCCTACAAGAATGCACAGGATCAGGTGGCTGTGGGTCTAAATGGAAATAGATGACAATAATTCCATGAGTTACAAAAAATAATTACTTTCATCTAAAAATCAAAATGAAGAAACTATCTGTTGGAGAGAAGTAAATAGACTTTATCCAATTCACTCTACCTATTTCTCAAATAAAGAAGAAGTTTGTTGAGGTAGGATTAAACTGGGCTAGAACACTCTACCTGCATTGTCCTGCATATTGTGTAATTTGGGATAGGAAGATAAGTATTTGTATGGTGAGGACAAAAAATATCTTAAGCTTGAAACAAACTTGCTTCCATTTTTTTAAAACTGATTCATCCTCAAATCAGGAGGAAAAATTACACTAGCAAACAAAATTTGTAAGCAACCAAATTGATTCCTCATTATTAAAGATAATATCCTAAAGCTCTTTAAACTTAGTTTGTATGTGAAAATGTAAAAGAGATAGAGGAGGCAGTAGTCAATATTTGATACCTCCTTTTCAGAAAAGAAAGGGAAAATAAACCTGACAAAGTGGTACTGCAGCACACTCCCTTGATGATTTCCTGTGGAGTATTACTAACACCTTTACAAAAAATTCTGCAGATGAGAACTCAATCTGGCAGTATGAACGAGAATTACATGGGGACCTTTAGTCTTGGCTATGTATAGGATGGCAACGAAAACATATTTTATCACATATGATCTGTGTGACTGGAGAAGAATGGCAGTGTTAGTAAGGCTTACTGTGGGTAAGACTAGACAAAGCAAATTAAATTGGGAGTATTACTTCAGCAGTCTGGAGCATTTGCCTTTGAAAATTGATCCCTACAGCTTTTTAGGTACGTGCTGAAA